ACGTCGCCAGAGTTCTTCTAGACCTTCACCAGATGTCACACTCTAGGATATATATTGGAAGAATTACATATGTCTTTCAACTATTTAACTAAAGCTTACCAATGAATAACAAAAAGAAATATGATTGCATTTTTATCTTATATGGAGCATCATATTATAGGATTTTTACCCTTTCCTTAAAACATACAAAAACCATGTATGAGCACATATTCCAACTATTTAACTAAAGCTTACCAATGAATAACAGAAAAAAAATATGATTGCATTTTTATCTTATATGGTGCATCATATTATAGGATTTTTATCCTTTCCTTAAAACATACAAAAACCATGTATGAGCACATATCCCAGCAAGTAGCTAAAATCTTACGACTGTAATTAATATAAGATAAAAGAGAATAATATGCTATAAATCATATACATCAATGTCTGTAGTGATTATCAGTATCAATTTATCTTTCTATAATTCACCACATCTCAATCCATTACATTATCAATCACAGTATTAGTAACAATCAACATTACTAATGCCAATAATAATATTAGTAGCATAATCAATAACGTTAAATAATATTAATGACAAAAAATAATATTAGTCAGTCACAATATTAGTATAATGTTCGTAGCAATGTCAAATGTACTATTCAGATATTCAATGAGTGTATCTTAAGAGTATATTATTACTGCACTTATGACTCCCAATCAGTCAAACCTTAAATCTCCCAATCAATATACTCTTTATAACTCCTCTTGAATCAGATGATTCAATCATCCCGACTTTTTACTTATAACTCCCAATTAATCTCCAGCTCCTTATGAATCTCAATGAGTGAATCACGTAAATCAATAGAGTATCATATGGAGTTATCATATCATGTATCTAATATCATTCAGTACTTCATTTAAAATATAATAAAATTATATCAAATTATTCAGAATAATCAAATCTATAACATATTTAAATTTATACGATGAAAGCTTATGAAATCATAAGATAATGCATTTTTGATAAATGTAGGAGATCGAAATAAAATTTGCAGAAATCAAAATTATTGAAAATAAAAGTAAGAGATTAGATACTTATAATACATATAACAAAATTTGGAATAGGAATGACTCACAAGTATGATCCAAAATCTTTTTTCTCTCCACTCTCTTCTTCCTCTCTTTCAATTTGTTCCTAGCCAAGCAATCAAGTGAAAGAGTCGGTGGGGTGAGACATGGATATATATATATATATTATTCATAGCCTAACACTGCAGCACTCACCAGATCAGCGCTAAAGTGCACTACGTCAAAATTTTTATATTTTTCAAAAAAAAAAAAAATTGAGTTATTGTGATCTCCCCACCTTCAAAAAATGTTGTCATAGACATTTCTGTATTAGTTCTAGAGAGAGCATGCTCAAAATATAATTTCAAACTCAAATCAACTAATTATAAATTGGAACTCATTTCTATTCCGCTCATAAGTTCTAGTTATATTTTAATTCTTTCAATAATCATTGCTCTGATACCATTTTGTCATACTCTAGGATTTATATTGAAAGAATTACATCTATCTTTTAACCATTTAACTAGAGCTTATAAATGAACAATGGAAAGAAAGATGATTGTATTTTTATCTTGCCCGAAGCCACATATCATAGGATCCTTCTCTTTTTCTAAAAACATATAAAATCATAATGAGCATATAGACCAACAAGCAATTAAAATCTTATAGCTGAAATCAATGCAAGATAAAAGAGAATAATATGCTATAAATCATATGCATCAATGTCTATATTTATTATCAATATCAACTTTTTTTTCTATATTTCATCACATCTCAATCAATCATAATATCAATAACAATAAACAGTACTAATGTCAGTAATAATATTAATATCATGATCAATAATGTTAAATAATGTTAATAGCAGAAAATAATATTAGTATCAATCACAATATCAGTATAGTGTTCATAGTAATGTCGGTATAAGTATTTTGATATTCAATGAGTGTATTTAAAAGTATCTTGCTCACGCACTTATGACTCCCAATTAGTCATCCCTTATAACTCCCAATTAATGTATTCCTTATAACTCGCCTTGAATCACGTGAATCAGTCACCCTGACTCGTTATAAGTCTTAATTAATCTCTTGCTCCTTATGAATCACAATCAGTGAATCACATGGATCAATAGGGTATCACGTGGAGTTATCATATCATGTATCTAATATCATTCAGTACATCATTTAAAATGTAATAAAATCATATCAAATCGTTTAGAATGATCAAATCTATAATATATCCAAATTTACATGAAGAGAATTTATGAAATAAGAAGATAATGCGCATTTTTGATAAATGTAGGAGAAATAAAATATGTAGAAATCAAAATCATTAATAACAAAAGTAAGAAATTAGTCAATTACAATGAATATAATAAAATTTATAATAACAATGCTGACAAATATGATCCAACGACTTTTCTCTCTCCACTCTTTTCTTCCCCTCTTTCAGTTTCTTCTTGGCCAAGCAATCACGTGAGGGAGTTTGTAGGGTGATACAAGGATCTCTATAACTATATATACATAAATATTATTCATGGCATAGCACCACAATGCTCACCAGATCAAGGCTAAAGCGCTCTACGTCCGAATTTTCATATATTTTTTAAAAAATTATTTCACATATTTAAATTATAACACCATACTTCCAATTGTTCATCGATCAACACCAAGTTTTTGCTCAACCATTATTACCCACAAAGTTCAATCCACTTTTCTGGACTTTTGTAATTTGACCATCCTGAATTTTAAGGATAATTGTTTTATCTATTAAAATACTGGTAGAATTATTTCAACCGGGCGTGTCCTCATGGTTTTCCCCTTTTCAGCATTTTCCACATGGTGTTTCTAATCTCTCTGTTTGTGTGCTGGGTATTTGTACAATGCTAAGACGAAAGGCTTTTCTACTTTACCGCTATGAATATTCTAGCACGCAATAATAATAATCAAATGTATTTTAAAATCTTTATTTTTTCAATTAATTTTAATAGACTTAAAGTATATTAAAATAAATTATTAGATTACTCGTTGCAAACTTTAATTAGCTTAAGCTTAGCCCTCAATCAAAAAAGCCATAAATAAAAGCAACAAATGGCAGGAAATTTTCTTACGTGAGCAATGAGCACAAATCGGTGCCTAATCTATAATTTTTTAAAAATTTTTTGGATGGCACGGTCCTCTATGAAAGAGAGAGAGAGAGAGAGAGAGAGAGAGAGAGAGAGAGAGAGAGAGAGAGAGAGCTTTAAACCCAAATGCAACCTATGGGTCTGATAAAAGGTTCATGATTCGAGACATCGCAGCAGGCATTACTTTCCAATGGTCTCAAACCCAGTAGCTCCAAGGCCTTAGAAAATGTGGGCTGACAAAGTCAGATTTTTTTCTCTATGAGCGCCGTAGCGCTGTGCTTTTGGAAAAATGAGAAAAAAGAGGTTTTGAGGGAAGTGTTGCCGTCTGTTGGTGTTGTAATGATGTTGGGGATGGAGTTTATTAAGTTTGAGAGTTTAATTGGTGACGGTGTTGCATTAGGTCGAAGTAGTGATTTTTTTTAATAAATATCTAAATTCACTAACTTAAGCCCGCCCAATAACTTGTCGGAAGATGGTGATTTGAGGGTAATTGCAGGGAGACAATGGTATGATGATCATAATCAGTGGATGATTTTGATTTGGCAATAATGTATTGCAAAATATAAATGTTGTGCATTGAAGTAGGAGACATTTATTGCAGGTTGGATCGATGCCAACAATGTAGTGAAGAATGTCTTTGTTTTTCATAGATTTGGTAGTTACTAACAAATTTTGGTTTATAACCCCTGAAAGTGTGCAACGGAGCATAGGATTGTTGGCGTCCACAATAGAAATGACCACGACCGCATCCATGAATGGAAGTGAGAGCAAGTTGTGGTTCTTGTGAACTGTAGGAATAAAAAATAGTGAGGTCTTTTGTAGCCTCAGTAGCCTAATTTACTTCTTCCCTACATAAGAGGGCATACAAATCATCTAAGCTTATTGGAGTCAGTTTTGTGCAGATAGCTGTCTTGAGAGCAAGATAATTTGAGGGAAGGCCATTTAGAATGTATATGATGACATATTCAATGTTAATGGTAGCTCCAACTAGCTCCAACAACTCCAATGTTGTCGACAAGCCTTTTAACAGTGGCTAGGCAAGTTATAAATGAATGATTTTTGCATTGAAAGAGAGTGTAGTTCATTTTTCTGTTGTATGACTTTGGACCGATTAGAGGAGAAGAACAAGCATTCGAGTGTTGTCCATAGGAGGGTGTAGGTGTCAAGGTTTAAAATGTATGATAAAATAGATGGGGAGATAGTGGAGGAAAGAGCTACCGCAAGGTCTTGATCAATCAATCACCAAAGGCTATATTACAGATTGAGGATGATTTGGCCGGAGTCAGATAGAGAACTTTTGGGTGGGTTATTGCAGTTCCGTCGAGATGACCAAGGAACCCATTTTCTTCAACTAGGGTAGTTGTTAGTAAAAGTTGGATATGAACAATATTCTTGATATTTGAGATGAGGAACTTCAAAGAAGAGGTAATAGTTACTTTGATTGAGCTTTCCAAAGTTGTGATTTGAGGTGGAGTGGAGGAGGAATTCCCCATATTTAGCTAGGAGAAGATGTCGTTACGTAGAAAGACTGTTATGATACTATGAAGAAACTCTATTAATGCAAGAAGAACAGTTAGGAAGTGTAGAGCAGAGATGAAGAAGAAAGAGTTCCATTAAAACTGCCATGACTAATGTGTACAGTAAATACCAATACGATAAACTTTAATTATGAATGTAAGTGTTCAGTTATTAGAGATGCTGCAATTGGCAGCCGTTCTTTTTCAAGTAGCTCTTTGTCTCAATCCATTAAAATTGGCAAACTTGTGAGAATTTCACTTCTCAAGCATAATGAAGCATTGCAAAGTAAGAACTGATAGGCATATTAGATGTTCAGAAAAATATTAAGTATGTCATTTGTCACTGACAACAGAAATAAGAAACACGAAACATTGCCGAGGTGAAATGATCAACTTGTTTTTCTTTTCTTTTTATTTTTGTTCTGAAAAAAAAAAGATGACAATTTTCAATCACATAGAATATTTATTAAGTTGTTTTTAACATCTTCCGGTCACAATCCATAAAAATTAGCCTCTTTTAATTTTTTCATCAAAGTTAGATTAATCATAGAAACTTATGAGAAATCCACCTCTGAAACATAACAAAGCATTGCAAAGGCATATTATCTGGTACTGTATGGCTTCCACCCTGCAACCAAATTAGTAGAAGGTGGCTATAATACAAAAATAACACCAGTTTGTCCAGAGAATATCTAAGAAAATATTTTCTTACCTTCACAGTTGCAAATGTTAGATTGTTTGAGAACATCATTGTATACCTGATGAGTAAACAAATCACCACGAGCAATAAGATACAATACTTTATGATTTGTAAATATTAATGCCAAGACGCAAAGGAGGGTGGAATATAGCCAAATTCTTAATAGCATGTTGTTTTATGAATGAAAATCAGACTGAAGAGCGTTATCTTTGGGAAGCATGCATTAGATTGGGATGATGCTTTTTTTTTTGTTTGATTTTGTTGACCTTAACATTTTTTTAGCTTAAGCTTCCATATTGATGCACTAGTATTTTGGGCTTAGCTTTGGAGCTATAATAAAATGCATAGGGACCAAGGAAATACACACCCTGCAACTTGGCCTCCTGCACGCCACGAACGCCAATTGTCGATGACAGAGAAGTTAAGTGATCTTATCCACTCTAGTGTGCTAATGAATGGTACAACTAGATCATGGTCTCCACTATTTTGTCAATAAGTTCATGCATGTTAAATAACTTTGGCCTGTAATTATAAAGTTATAAAATGTAAATGATTGCATGCTTATGACTTGCTTCACCTATAAACCAAAGCTCGATATCCTCTGCTTGTTAAATTGAGATGATGTGGCACACAACTTGGTATGCTAATAGTGTAATTATTCAAGTACTCTTTGCAACGATGCCATTCTTCGACAGTTCCCTGCATATTTTTCATCATAAGTATTGCATGGAGTGGGTGAAAATAGAAAGATTTATATAAGTTGAGTGTTCTCTCATTTGATCGTGTGAAATGCCAAAAAATAAATGATTTAAACTACTTCCTGGCATAAATTTCTTTAGTATTTTGTTCTTTGGTTAAAAAAGGGAAAGCAATCTCAACTTATAAAACAACATAATTTAGTTTATCCTATTATATAAATAAGAACAATAAAAGTTAACTTGATATCATGATTTTCTAATAACCTAGTAGTGCTAATGAAGTTTATATTGAAACCCTGGTAATATTACTAAAATTTGTTGTGATATTTAGGCTTCATTTTGGATGGCTTTCTTGTTGCTACATGTAGTAAAAAAATTAAAAGTGCTTTAAGTAGTAGTAAGAAAGCTGTCTCAAAACAAAGCCTTAGTATAATTTCATGACCAATTTTTATAAAGTTTAGAAATTATTCTAATTTTCTATTAAAAAATTCAAACTAATGAGAGTTTTATACAAGTGATCCAAGATATAATTTTTTAGAAAATACAAAAGGATCGCAAGTGTGGTTAATAAAAATCTTAACTAAAGTTAAGTGGTTGAGTAGGATAAAAGGTACATATAAACCAAAACAACTTGGCTGAATAGAAGAAATTAACAACAATCAAAAGATTACCCCTCTTTTATCACTTTTTGGGGGTAACTTCACCACTTTCATCTAGATTTTTTGCCCTTTTTATCAATTAGAATAGCATTGCTCCCAACAAAAGTAACTAAGAAAAAATCAATTTACCTCCTTGATATGAAGGGCTTCTTTGGTGAGATTGTCATTTGACCAGTAATAGGAAAGAATACGATCATTCTACAAAACATAATAACATTTTAATAATTTTTTTGTATGAATTAAAAAAAATCTTATTGGTTATGTAAATGAAAATAGATATCAAATGAATGCAAATGACATAACGGCACAATCAATGTCTGGCATGGATACTGAATAATGGAATTCAAAAGAATTTTTCTTGATTGACCGATTGCCTCCTAGTTTTCTTCGTATAGGAGAGTCATCAGCACATTTAGGCTTCAATATCTCATGCATATTGATCTCTGAAAGAAACTAAGTAAATGTATAACATTACATGAGTTAGCATCATCCATGTCATTATTTCATCTTTGTAATGAGAAAATCATATAAATATGTCCAAAATGGAGATTACCCCATCCAAACTTTTGAGGTTAGCTTCACAACTGACACTCTTAGGATTGAGATAGTCTTCCCCCACACAATTTATTTGTATTAGCTGAAAATAAAAAAGATCACCTACATTTTGTAAGAACATTATATCTCAATAAGGAAGAGCTAATATAATCACTTGCCTTCATACATGTGTTAAAACTTGAAAAAAATATCTCATGGACAGCCATCTAATAGCTCCTTTGAAGTTTAGATAATTATAATATTGCCCCGTGATATTTGACAAAATACCAAATACCCCTTTTATGTTATATTTTGCATCCAACTTCCATTAGATTAATATTAAAATAACTCTTTACATTAAATAATATGTTAGAAAATTGTATTTTGATATGTTACCACATAAAAATCATGTACAAATCTACACATCTCACTAACATAAAAAAGAAATTTATGTTAAGAATTTGAGAGTGCTAACACTACAATTCAATGTCCACAGACTCTACTCACCTAATGTGCACCGGCCAGCTCAGCAAGCTCACTCTCCACTGTCCCTATCTAAAGCAACCTGACAATAATAGAAATTATACTTTTCTCTAACCTCTTGTGCCCTATCTCACATATATAAAAACACCTTCTCACTGTACCATGAATTAATAAAAATTAATACAAGATCTTCTTCACTGCTATCTCTGTTCTTTCTCTAAAACTTTTGCATGTACTCATTTATGGTGTCAGAGACAGGTGACGCCAAGAGCATCAATGGAAGAACAAGACTCTTCATCCCCAACCCCTCCTAACTCTTCCCTTTCTACCTCTATGGCTCATTTCATTGTCCCTCCTCCCCTCAAATTCCGCATGTCTAATCTCAAGCTTATAGTCATTATTCAACTCACAGCATTAAACTACGTCATGTGACGTCTTCGGATCTACAAACTTTTCTCTGTCAGCGGCTTTGAAGGATATCTCAATGGCCACCTTCCCTGCCCTCCGGAACCAACTCCAAACTCATCAACGAGCTATCACCATATGTGGAAATTGATTGACCAAAACCTTGTTTTCACTCTATTCTCTATAATATTCCCATCAGTATTACCCTACATTCTTCACCTCACAATAGCTCACGAGATCTGGTCGACTTTGGAACTCCAACCCACAATCCGCTCTAGGGTCATTCAATTGAAGAATGAACTTCATCATGTTCAAATGAGAGATTAGACTGTAACCAAATACCTAACACACATCAAATATCTGGTAGACAATATAGCTGTAGCTGGTTCTAAGATTTGATATAGAGGATATTATCCTCTACATCCTAAATGGGTTGCCATCATCCTACAACTCATTCAAACCAGTCATCTGCACTTTCCTTCACTCGATAAGATTTGAAGTACTCTACTCTCTACTATGCAGTGAGGAAATCAACATCCAATTAGAATTACAGAGGGACACTGCCCCGCCATTGGATAATCAAGCCCTCTATACCTCCTGAGGCAACACCACCAGAGGTCGTTCCTTCAAAAACAACACCGCAAAACCCACTTGTGGAAGAGGAGCTCCCTTCAATCCATCAAATTCTCCTAGACGACCTCTGTATACCCCGCCTGTTAACACACAGAGACCAATCTTTCAAATATGTGGGAAAAATGGACACACGACACTATCCTACTGGCATAGGTACAATCTACAATATGCATCTCCCTCATCCTCTAACTAGTGTGTTTTTCTGTCACAAAATCAGCAAACTCCTACCACAGAGTGGATTCTAGACTTTGGCGCCTCGACGCATCTCACATCTGACTCCAGCATCCCATAGCAATCAGCTCCTTATCAAGGAATGGACTACGTCTCTATTGCCAATGGAACATCCCTTCCCATTCACAATAGTGGGCAAGGTATCTTACCGCTTCCTAACTCAAATCGTAAGCTCCGATTACAAAATCTCCTTCACATCCCCTCCCTTTCTCATAACCTACTCTCCATTTCTAAACTTATTTTTGATAGCATTTGTTGCATTTACTTTGATGCTGGTGGTTTTGCCATCAAGGATCTACTGGACAATTGAACTCTAATCTGTGGTCGCAGTCGTGATGGCATCTATCCTATTCACACCAATAGTGATGCACCCGTGTGTGCTCTTCACACCAAAGCTGATGCAACCTATCTTTGGCATTCTCATCTTGGTCATCCCCACCACAAACTGATGACTATCTTATCTAAGAGTTTTCATTTTTTTTGCATTAACTCTTTCTCTCTATTATGTAACTCATGTAGAGTGGCCAAGAGCCACAAGTTATCCTTCCCCAAACACACCACTCATGTAACTCAACCCTTCAGCTTAATACATTCTGCTCTTTGGAATCCATCCCCCATTTCCTCTCTATATGGTTTTAAATACTACATTATTTTCATTGATGACAACAATATATTCTGCTGGTTACATTTGATACATTCCAAAGATGAGGCATTCACAAATTTCAACAATTTGCCAAAATGGTTAAAACAAACTTCAACACACAAATCAAAACCTTCCACTCCGACGGAGGTTGAGAATACACCAACACAGTTTTCAAACAATTTCTACTTAATAATGGCATTACACATGAACTGAGCGGTCCCTGCACTCCTGAACAAAATGACCTATCCGAGAGGAAATACCATCATCTACATGACACCACTCGTACCTTACTCCATGCAGCCAAACTTCCACCACACCTTTGGGTGGAAGCTGTGCAAACCTCTAATTACCTCATTAATCACTTTCCTACCTTAGCTCTCAACTTTCAAATTCCTTTTCAGCTGCTACATGGTCACCTGAAACCATATGACCACTTAAAACAATTCGAGTGTCTCTATTTTTCATGGCTCCAATCTCATGCTCCTCACAAACTTGCTCCAAGATCCCACTCATGTATCTTCCTTTGCTATTCTACATCTCATAAAAGGTATAGATGCTTCAACCCACGAACCCAAAAGCTCCACATATCCAGGCATTTTCGCTTGCATGAACACATATTCCCATTAACTCACACTCCTCAACTTTTTCACCCCAACCCACAAGCGTCATCAATTTCACCACTTTTATTAATTCACACATCTACTTATTCAAACCCAGTTCCCACTCAGCCAATCTCTCCTCTACTTCAAACACTAGTGAACACACAAAACTCCCATACCACTCAGCCCACCGAGCCATCCAATTCCCCTACATCACTCCCCTTGCCCACTCCACCTCTATCCCCTCAACAACTTCCAATATCCACCCATCCAATGTAAACTAGATTTTAGACTGGACATCTCAAACCGAAACAAGTTTTTGATCTATCTGCCACTACTGAATCAGCTACAACACTGACCAACTTTACAAAAGCTTCCAAAATATCACATTGGAGGAAAGCTATGTCAGACGAGTTCATAGATCCTCAGAGACAAGGCAACTGGTCATTAACTACTCAACCTGCAAACACACCGGTCCTAGGTTGCAAATATACATAAAAAAATAAAGCTACATCCTGATGGTAAAATTGACCGCTACAAGGCACGCCTTGTAGCTCAAGGCTATACACAACAATTTGGTGTCAACTACAAAGACACCTTCAGTCCAGTTGCAAAAATGCCATCCATTTTAGTCTTCTTAATAATTGCATTCCATAGGAAATGGCCAATTCTGCAGTTTGATGTAGCAAATGCCTTCTGCCATGGTGAGCTTCAGGATGATGTCTACATGAAACAACCACAAGGCTTTATTGATTCTCAGCATCCTCATTTTGTTTGTAAACTGCACAAGGCCATCTACAGCCTCAAACTTGAGCCAAGACAGTGGTTCCAAAAGCTCACCTCATTCCTTATACAATTTGGCTTCCAATTCCGCAAATAAGACCCATCCATGTTAATCTACAGTCAATCAAATGTTCAATTATACCTACTAATATATGTTGATGATCTTCTACTTACAAGCAATCACTCAGGCACCATCAATCGTTTGCTTGCTAAACTGCAGTCCACATTCTCCTTAAAATAACTTGGCTTGGCCTCTCTGTTCCTTGCAATTCAAATTCTCAAGACACCAACCGGACTGTTCCTACATCAATCCCACTATGCCAGAGACATCCTAAAAGCATATGGTCTTCACTCATGTAAACCAGCTCCGACACTAATGTCTTCAAAATTGCCTCAAACAAAAACTGATGTAGAACCTTACTCTAATCCAACCCACTACCGCCAACTTGCAGGATCATTGCAGTATCTCATGGTCACAGGTTCGGACATTGCTTTCGCGACAAACATCATCTGTCAACATAAGCACAATTCGACGAACGATGACTACAAGACCCTCAAGCGCCTCCTTCGATACCTCAAAGTAACTCAAGAGTTTGGCCTTCCAATATCACCAAGAAATATGCAACTTCACACCTATAGTGACGCAGACTGGGCAGCGGATCACCTAGACCGAAAGTATATCTCGGGCTTTTACACCTACGTAGGTGACAATCTCATCTCATGGAGTCTCAAGAAATAAGTGACAGTGGCCAAATAATCAACAGAGGCTAAATATACAGCTCTTGCATCTATCACATCCAATGTTCTGTGGCTTCGCAGACTACTATCAGACTTTCAAACTCCTCAATCAAAACCTACAACAATTCAATGTGATAACATCTCAACATTGGCACTAGCCAATAACCTAGGTTTTCACGCAATGACCAAGCACATAGAAATTGATTATCATTTTATCAGCGATAATATCAAGACACGGGAGATCGAGATCCTACACATAAGTTCAATAGACCAACCAGCTCATATACTAACCAAACTGCTCTCAGTACTCAGCCATTTCAACACACTTCGTGATAAATTAACTATCCGTCCACCGAATTTTCAATTTGAGGGGGGCTGTTAACACTACAATTCAATGTCTCGTAGTCTCTAGTCACCTAATGTGCACTGGCCAGCTCAGCAAGCTCACTCTCCACTATCTCTGTATAAAGCGTCCTGATAATAATAGAAATTATACTCTTCTCTAACCTCCTGTGCCCTATCTCACATATATAAAAACACCTACTCACTATACTGTGAATTAATGAAAATTAATACAAGATCTTCTTCCCTGTTATCTCTTATCTTTCTCTAGAGCTTTGCAAATACTCTTTTAGAGAGCATTAATCGATTGATCAAGAGCAATATTTATTTTGACATTAGCGTGAATTTTATTTAATAAATTATGAAAAGGCTTTTTTATATAATTTCAACATTTTAATGTTAAACTATTAAAAGTTGGACGAAAAAAAAGTAGCATAAGTGTGGTATTTGATATTTTATCAAATATATTGACAAAATAATAGTTAGCTAAACTTCAAGGGAGCTAAATGATGATTACTCAGATTTCTCAAGTTAAATTTAGCTTTAAATACAAGACACTTTTCTTTTTCTTGAATAGAATTATATCTATCTAGTTGCAAGGAAACAATCAAGATAGCTATAAGTAATTATTTTTCACAGGACAAATAATATTATACTGTAAATTAAAAAGAAAAATCTTGCAACTCAACAATAAATGTCTTATATCGTTAGTTAAATTTAGCTCAGAATATCCTTTGCTTTTTTTTTTTTTTTTTGGTAATTGGCATTGCATAAAAGTTCACAATATAATAAATAGTTTTTTTTCGTCAATTAAAAAAAATGAAAATAGAAACCTTGAATAGTTCATGTGAAATTATTCCCAATCCATGAGCATGAGGAGCTCGAGAACTGATGTCAATTCTTTCACTAGTTACAGGGTTGCCAACTAAATAACCCTAAAAAACATCAGAAACGATTAAGTTATATTCATAGCCTTGTTGAAATTAGGAGAAAAAGCTTAAAATTTTATTAATTACATTTTTGAAAAAGGCTTAAGAACATACCTTGAGATTTACAAAAAGTTGTTGAAAATCTTCGTTGCCTGTGATCCATTACACATAATTAACATTTCAATCACAAAATTACGCACCCCAGATTTATAAATTAGATAATGCCAAAATTATAGGAATAATTACCTTCTACTATCTCTAGAGCAAGTAGAGGAACCATCTTCCCTCCATATGAATCGCCACCAACATAAAAAGGATTTGATTGAAAACTTGGATGAGCAAGCAACCACTGCATTACTTCAAAAATACTTTGAATATGTATATATATAGGATCATGACTAACAAAAAAGAGTTATTGATGATAATAAGGGGCGGATCCAACCTTAATTTTCAGGGGTCAAATTTATAAGTAAAAGTGTAGAATTTTTTTTTTCATAAATATCCTTACAACCAAAATTTGTTCCGAGAGCGCTACCCCTATTTGTTCATCGTTGATGCTTCGTATATATGTCGGGGGTCCAAGGGGGCAGCACCCCCGGAACAAATTTTGGTTATAAGAATATTTTTGAATTCTCTTTACTATTTCTTTTTGTATTTGGTTCATCATTCCCTAACAATAATATCTCTACACAATGTGTTTAATTATGTTGGGACAATTGCCTAAAGATCATAGTATTTTAGAACTTTTAAGGGGGGCAATTCCCTGACCTTATGCTTGAAAAACATTGTAGTTAATATCTTCATCAAAATTTTTATACCTAAAATTTGAAGTCATCTTACCTTTATAAGGAACTTATAGATTTGCTTTGTGGATTGTACATCATCTGTGTGATAATCCACCATACTTCTTGAAAATGAGAACCCAGTCCCCACAGGCCAATCCAAAAAGATAATGCTAGAGATCTAATAATCCAATTAAATTTCTTAAAAAATAATAATATAAATGACATGAATATAGAGGAAAAGGGTTTAGTTCTTAATCACACACCTTTGTCCATGAATAAGGATTTGAAATTAAAGTAGGCAAAGTTCCATCATATGCTTTTACATTAAACTTAAGAGGGCCTGCATACAACATAGAAAATGATGAAATCTTTCAAAAATCAAAGTTCCATGAAAAAAAAAAACAAAAACAAAAACAAAAACTTGAACAGAAAGAAGCAAAAATAGTAATCACCAATATCTAAGGCAAAGCCAATAAAACCAGAGCAGTAAGGGCCACCAACAAGCCAAAGGATGAGTGGATCATCTTTGGGCTTCCTATCAGACTCTACAAAGTAGTAGAAGAGCTCTGCACCGCTCTTTTCATTGACGGTCACATAGCTGCTTCCAACCGAGGAGTAACATAAAAATATTAGACAAAAATAACCATCAGACACATAATATTAGGTAGTGGACTTACCCAGTTTCAAGATAGAAAGGGAGTGAGCCATTGAAGCCTGGAAGATGAGTGACTCTGCTTGCATGCAATGTGTTACAATAATAAGGAAATACACAGAGATTGAAGAAGAGAAGTAATAGCATCTGCATAATGCTGAAGCTAATAGGCATGACTGAGGAAGCAGGGCAGAAATGTGAGAGATAAACAGGCACTGCCCTCCTCTTTGTCAATCAGTTTCTTTATAATCAGCTTAAATATTTTGTTGAATATACATAATAAGTTAAATCCGTAGTCTTCTTTATAGTTTAAACGGTTAAAAGGTTATCGAGAGAGAAGTTTATTATATTATATGAACAATGAGAAAAATAGTCAAATTTACCATTTAGCTGAATATAAATGGCTAGTAAAATCCATAATTTCTCCTTGCTATTCCTGATTTGTTCACATTAAAGAGAGGCAATAGATTTGCTTTAAATATTTTATTTGTAGTGCAGGTCGTAAAGTAGCCAGCAATGCATCATGAACAACAACAAATAAAATATTTGGATGATATTTTTTTTTTTATATAAAAGAAGATGTTAGATATGGCTGAGGATAAAAGCAGCGCCGAAATGTGAGTAAATTTCTTATCTTTCTCACTCTTTTTTAATTCAATCATGTCAGTCAATATTATTTTTTATTAAAATGAGAATAAATATAATAAGTAAAATATAATATCTTTTCCAGCTATTTGATGCAATTAATACTAGTAACAAAATAAAATAAATGTAACACTTTTAAAATTTCTAATATTTTATTGGGAGAAATATATTTATAGCAAATTTTCAATGCATTTTAAATTTTGTATTCTAATTTATTTTCAATGTATAAAAATATATAATTTCAACAAATTTTAAATACATTTCTTATGTGAAGTGCCTTTGGCAAGAATTGATTTATGAAAAAACATTAAATTGCATAAAATTAGATTTTTTATCCTTAAGTACTTTTTTAATCCCCCTCATTCAAATTTAGAAGTTGTCGAAGGTGTAAGTTTGTGGAATTTAGTTTACAAACTATTATTGATTACTTGATTGGCTTTATTTATAATTCTACTATTGCTCATTTCAATATTAATTGTTGCTGAAATATATATTTATGGGTGAATTTTTCTGCTAGTTTATATTTTTGAGGGCTATGATGATTTCCAATATGACTTATGTGATTGAAGCATACTATCTTTCTTTATTGACGAATGCATATCGTAATGCCCTCTTCCGATTTTGTATGACTAGAATTTTATCCATTGGGAGTTTACTTTCTTTGAAGTATTCAATGAATGGTTGTCTCCAATCATTTTATACTTCAACATTTAGGCAATACAACCATGACTCCGGGCATCTGGTGGATTTACGTTTCTTGGTTACATGACATTGTTCTTATTCATTTTCGATAATGATATGTCAGGGAGGTTGAGGATTAATCAAAGTTATATCCTGCTGGCTTGAATTTGATATTCCATCTACTTGCAGGAATTACAAGATAATTGGCTCTAAGACCCGTAACTCAAGAGTTTGGCCTTCCAATATCACCAAGAATATGCAACTTCACACCTATAGTGACGCAGACTGGGCAGCGGATCACCTGGACCGAAAGTATATCTCGAGCTTTTGCACCTATGTAGGTGACAATCTCATCTGATGGAGTCTCAAGAAATAAGTGATAGTGGCTAAATAATCAACATAGGATAAATATAGAGCTCTTGCATCTATCACATCCAATGTTCTGTGGCTTCGTAGACTATTATCAAACTTTCAAACTCCTCAATCAAAACCTACAACAATTCAATGTGATAACATATCAACATTGGCACTAGCCAATAACCTAGATTTTCACGCAAGGATCAAGCACATAGAAATTGATTATCATTTTATCAGCGATCATATCAAGACACAAAAGATCGAGATCCTACACATCAGTTCAATAGACCAACCAGCTCATATACTAACCAAACTGCTCTCAGTCAGCCATTTCAACACACTTCGTGATAAATTAACTATCCGTCCACCAGATTTTCAATTTGAGGGGGGCTGTTAACACTACAATCCAATGTCTCGTAGTCTCTAGTCACCTAATGTGCATTAGCCAGCTCAGCAAGCTCACTCTCCACTATCTCTGCCTAAAGCGTCCTGATAATAATAGAAATTATACTCTTCTCTAACCTCCTGTGCCCTATCTCACATATATAAAAAACACCTGCTCACTATACTGTGAATTAATGAAAAATTAATAGAAGATCTTCTTCCATGTTATCTCTAATCTTTCTCTAGAGCTTTTGCAGGTACTCTTTTAGAGAGCATTAATAGATTGATCAAGAGCAATATTTATTTTGATATTAACGTGAATTTTATTTAATAAATTCTGAAAGCCTTTTTTTATATAATTTCAACATTTTAATGTTAAACTATAAAAGTTGGACAAAAAAAATGTAGCATAAGGGTGGTATTTGATATTTTATCAAACATATTGACAAAATAATAGTTAGCTAAACTTCAAGGGAGCTAAATGATGATTACTGAGATTTCTCAAGTTAAATTTAGCTTTAAATACAAGACACTTTTCTTTTTCTTGAATAGAATTATATCTATCTAGTTGCAAGGAAACAATCAAGTTAGCTATAAGTAATTATTTTTGACAGGAAAAATAATATTATACTGTAAAATAAAAAGAACAATCTTACAACTCAACAATAAATGTCTTACATCGTTAGTTAAATTTAGCTCAGAATATCCTTTGTTTTTTTTTTTTTTTTTTTGGTAATTGGCATTGCATAAAAGTTCACAATATAATAAATAGTTTTTTTTTTCTTCAATTTTAAAAAAATGAAAATAGAAACCTTGAATAGTTCATGTGAAATTATTCCCAATCCATGAGCATGAGGAGCTCGAGAACTGATGTCAATTCTTTCACCGGTTACAGGGTTGCCAACTAAATAACCCTAAAAAACATCATAAACGATTAAGTTATATTCATAGCCTTGTAGAAATTAGGAGAAAAAGCTTAAAATTTTATTAATTACATTTTGAAAAAGGCTTAAGAACATACTTTGAGATTTACAAAGAGTTGTTGAAAATCTTCATTGCCTGTGATCCATTACACATAATTAACATTTCAATCATAAAATTACGCACCCCAGATTTATAAATTAGATAATGCCAAAATTATAGGAATAATTACCTTCTACTATCTCTAGAGCAAGTAGAGGAACCATCTTCCCTCCATATGAATCGCCACCAACATAAAAAGGATTTGATTGAAAACTCGGATGAGCAAGCAACCACTGCATTACTTCAAAAATACTTTGAATATGTATATATATAGGATCATGACTAGCAAAAAAGAGTTATTGATGATAATCAGGGGCGGATCCAGCCTTAATTTTCAGGGGGTCAAACTTATAAGTAAAAGTGTAGAATTTTTTTTTTTTCATAAATATCCTTACAACCAAAATTTGTTCCTAGAGCGCTGCCTCTTGACCCCTATTTGTTCATCGTTGACGCTTCACAAATATGTCGGGGGTCCAAGAGGGCAGCACCCCCGGAACAAATTTTCGTTATAAAAATATTTTTGGATTCTCTTTACTATTTCTTTTTGTATTTGGTTCATCATTCTCTAACAATAATATCTCTACACAATGTGTTTAATTATGTTAAGACAATTGCCTAAAGATCATAGTATTTTCGAACTTTTAAGGGGGGCAATTCCCTGACTTAAGCTTGAAAAACATTGTAGTTAATATCTTCATCAAAATTTTTATACCTAAAATTTGAAGTCATCTTACCTTTATAAGGAACTTATAGATTTGCATTGTGGATTGTACATCATCTGTGTGATAATCCACCATACTTCTTGAAAATGAGAATCCAGTCCCCACAGGCCAATCCAAAAAGATAATGCTAGAGATCTAATAATCCAATTAAATTTCTTTAAAAACAAAATAATATAAATGACATGAATATAGAGGAAAAGGGTTTAGTTCTTAATCACACACCTTTGTCCATGAATAAGGATTTGAAATTAAAGTAGGCAAAGTTCCATCATATGCTTTTACATTAAACTTAAGAGGGCCTGCATACAACAACCATATAGAAAATGATGAAATCTTTCAAAAATCAAAGTTCCATGAAAAAAAAAAAACAAAAACAAAAACTTGAACAAAAAGAAGCAAAAATAGTAATCACCAATATCTAAGGCAAAGCCAATAAAACCAGAGCAGTAAGGGCCACCAACAAGCCAAAGGATGAGTGGATCATCTTTGGGCTTCCTATCAGACTCTACAAAGTAGTAGAAGAGCTCTGCACCGCTCTTTTCATTGACGGTCACATAGCTGCTTCCAACCGAGGAGTAACATAAAAATATTAGACAAAAATCACCATCAGGCACAGAATATTAGGTAGAGGACTTACCCAGTTTCAAGATAGAAAGGGAGTGAGCCATTGAAGCCTGGAAGATGAGTGATTCTGCTTGCATGCAATGTGTTATAATAATAAGGAAATACACAGAGATTGAAGAAGAGAAGTAATAGCATCTGCATAATGCTGAAGCTAATAGGCATGACTGAGGAAGCAGGGCAAAAATGTGAGAGATAAACAGGCACTTCCCTCCTCTTTGTCAATCAGTTTCTTTATAATCAGCTTAAATATTTAGTTGAATATACATAATAAGTTAAATCCGTAGTCTTCTTTATAGTTTAAACGGTTAAAAGGTTATCGAGAGAGAAGTTTATTATATTATATGAACAATGAGAAAAATAGTCAAATTTACCATTTAGCTGAATATAAATGGCTAGTAAAATCCATAATTTCTCCTTGCTATTCCTGATTTGTTCACATTAAAGAGAGGCAATAGATTTGCTTTAAATATTTTATTTGTAGTGCAGGTCGTAAAGTAGCCAGCAATGCATCATGAACAACAACAAATAAAATATTTGGATGATATTTTTTTTTTTATATAAAAGAAGATGTTAGATATGGCTGAGGATAAAAGCAGCGCCGAAATGTGAGTAAATTTCTTATCTTTCTCACTGTTCTTTAATTCAATCATGTCAGTGAATATCATTTTTTAATAAAATGAGAATAAATAATATTAAATATAATAAGTAAAATATAATATCTTTTGCAGCTATTTAATGTAATTTATACTAGTATCTGTTAACCTGTAATGCTTTGAAGGTGCAGGATGACATGGAAGAACAAAGATAAAACGAGAAAAGTAAAAATTATTTTGTATTCATTGCCCTGTCTCATGGGTATACATGGATATACATAGAGTTTTAAAAAGAATCTTCATACATTTCTTTAACGGAAAATGACAGCTATACAAGACTATTTATTACGTATGTATTTTCTTATTCATATCCCTTAATATACCCCGGCAAACTTATTGCACGTTTGTGACATAAGGATTTAGTGAATAGGTCAGGTAATTGATCTTTTGAAGATATGTGATGAACTTGTATCGAATTATTTTTGATGTGTTCCTGAATAAAGTGACAATTGATCTCAATATGTTTAGTGTGAGCATGAAAAACTGGATTGTTGGTCAAGGCGATTGCGGAGGTGTTGTCGCAATATAATTGTTGACCTCATTTTTGTATAAGGTCACTAGGGAGCCATCCAGACTCCAGATCGATCCTGACCCTACATCAATCTAGACTCCAGATCCTAGGATCTACTTTGACCCTAGGATTCTCCCAAATCAAACTAAACTCCAGGATCCTCCTAGAATCCCGACCTTAGGATCTATTCTAGGCCTTAGGATCCTTCTAGGCTCCAGACATTAGGATATACTCTAGACCCTAAGACTCTCCTAGATCCAGACCCTAAGATTTTCTTAGATTCCACAATCCTTCCAGATTTTAGATCTTAGAGTCTCTCTAGATTCTAGGACCAATCCTTATCCCAATTCAATTCAAGCCTCAATCAAAATCTAGATTTCAGTCGAGTTCAAATATTCAAACTTTAGTTCAAATCTTGATTCAGCCTTTGATCAAGCTTCAAACCTATCATATCATTTATGATCATCCAAATGATCATAAGTAATTTGGATAACTCAAACTTAATCAATCAAATTTAAAATAGTCTAAAGCCCCTGTCCTAAAGTCCTTTTCCAGTGAATTTTCAAACACTTCAAAACCCTATCAAATGACCTCTGATTCAGGGTCTGTCAATTGTATACTGATAGGATATATCTCTAGAGGATAACCTCCAAATTTGAGCCCATTCTGAAGTCTCTAACCTCATAATCTAAATCAAAATCCAAAGGTTGTAAAACCTTTAAATATTTACGGCCTATGCCACTGGACCTATCATCCAGTGGATTTTGACCATGGAGATTTCTTCAAACCCTCCAATCACTTCCATACCTTTAATCATGATATGTTGATCAGTAAACTGCATTTTTTTGGACTCATTTCAGCCTCCAGTGGACATGAGGTCAAAATGACCAAAATACCCCTTTGGGGTATGAATAGTCATTTTGGATCAAATGAGCTCCAAATTGAATGCAACCACCTCCAGCAAGTTTCAAATGTCAAAACAAACCCATTAGACCCATTTCCAGACTTTGGGTCAACCTGATTGACCAAGTCAATAGGGTTGACCTAAGAGGCCCTTTAAGGGTCCAAATAGGTGATTTGACTGAAACGACCTATCTAAGCCATGAAGCCACTTCTATTGATTTTCAAATATCATTTCAAACTTGTTAGCCCTGATCCCAGACCCTAGGTCAACCTAGTTGACTAAGTCAACCTAGGTTGACCAAACCAGGCCCTTTAGGGTCAAAATAGGCATTTTGACCAAATTGACCTTTTCAAACCATAGAACCACATCCAATAGACTCAAAACATCAAACCAAACTTGTTGAGCCCAAATTCGGGTCCTGAGCCAACATGGTTGACCAAGTCAACCTAGGTTGACCTAAATGCCCTTTAATGTTTAAATAGGTTATTTTAATCTATTCAAACCATTTAATCCCTTTTAAGCTTCAAATCAACTTCAAACTACGTCCTAATCATACCTTAATGTTTGGCCAATCAAACCCAAATCAAAGTTGGCCAAGTCAACTATAAGATTTGGTCAAACCCCTTTAAGAACCCTCTCTAACTCTCCCAAATTCTAATCCTCAAACTTTAAATCTCTCTCAAGCCATCAAACCCAACACTCAAATCTCTCTCCCATGCCACCTCAGCTGCCATGTGGCATGGGGACCAATTAAATGGTCAAATCAAGGGTTTAGAGGGATCAAACTTAGTCAAACCCCCTCTTAAACCTAATCTACCTTAATTCAAATCTCCTCAGTTGTTAAGACTCCCTCTAAAACATTCCTAGAGCTATTTTAAGCCATTAGATCAAGATCCAATGGCTCTTATCAACTCCATATGCTTTAGTAAGGATACAGGCACCTTTCCACCTCATTGCCCTTTTGGTCCTTTGATACCCTGCTCCCATCAAATCCATGGGTACTTGGAAGGCATCTAAGAGCTCACCCATTTAATCTCAGCCACCTATTTGATCATGAAATGATTCAATGGGGAAAAATATCCTATGGACATGCATTTAACCCCAAAGCCTCTCTCACTCACTCTCTCGGATCCAGAGCGAATCCAGCCCTCAAAAACCCTCAAAAACCTCCTCCAGATCTTCCTCTAGCACTTCCAAGCCTTCCCCCACCGAATTCAAGCCTTCAAAGCCTCATTGGTGAAGAGAGAGGAACCTAGAGAGAAAGAGGAGTTTCAAATATAACTTTCGATACAACGTGATTCAGCTCTTGGTATCTTCATAAGAGTTGTCGAGGATCCTTGCAGCTTTCCAACGAGCCCAAGAACACAAAAATCTGACGGTTTGATTGTAAGTTATTCTTGTTTTTAGTTTAAAATTCAATTTGAAACTGTAGCAAATCTACAATGTATGGAGCCTCCAAACTTCAGGTAAATTGTTAGAGCATGTTGCCGGTTCTCTAAGCTACAGTTCAAATTTATGCAATTTTGTTGAGTATTTTGAAAGTTATGGGCATTTGAAGTTTTCTAGCTCTGGTTCAACAGAGCCGTCCGATGCGCGCCTTCAGCATGATCGACAGCCCAGAGATGACCCTGTCTCCGCCGCTAGGTTAGCTTGACTCATTTAAGTAGAGGGTCCCATACGTGGCCATGCTGGCGCGTTCCCATTGGCGCCGCCGCCATTCTGGATGTCATTTTGACCAAGAATTGCTCAAAAAAAAATTCAAAAAATGCCAGTATCTCAAAATTCATAGAAAATTAGAATTTTTCACACAATTGGACTTTCTTAGGCTGTTGAAAAGAAATTTAATGTAGTTTTTATAAAATTAAAATCAAGTTGATTTAGCCTCTGTATTGTGAGATTTTACAGTTGTTATTAACTATATTTTTTTGCAATTTTCTCACAATACAGTGGTCAACTGGAGTCCAAATTTTTGGTGAAAGATTATTGGGTATCTTAGGCATGTTTACTGATTTTTCTAGGGTCAGATACCAATGGTTTTCTTGTGATGGATTTTTCAAGATAAATGTGTCCATTTTGGACTCTATTTTGAAAATTCATAACTCCTTAAAATTCTCAATGTTTTTAATGTGAAATTTCTGTGGTGCGAATTCATAGTATGCCAGGGTTAAGAAACACCAAATTTCAAGCAAATTTGAAAAGTAGTAAAACCTAGGAATAAATATTAAGGACAAGGTCTAATTATTTAGAAAATCCTAGGAAATTCTACACACCCAATAGAGGTGAAACTTTGAGAACATTAACTTAGTGACATTTAAACCTTAGGTTCAAAATTCACCCAATTTCGAGTTCATTAAGTTAAAAAATTAAACAAGTCAAAGTTCAACCTTACAAATTGCCTTTCAATCAACCAGAACTTCAACAACCCTAACAAATTGCCCTCCATAAGACATATCCAAACAATACGGCCTACCTCACACACTTTAGATGGTTTAAGTAGGGACAACAACTCTAGTTTAGGATAGGCCGGTGTTTGCTTTTCTGTTGTGTGGCCGGGTTTTCAAGCTTTTATCTAGCATACTCGTTGTTAGCTTAGAATTGATTGAATGTCTGTTTATTTATTTACTGCACTCTGTTGAGCATTTAAATTTCAAATATATCAACTGCTTGAGATTGAATATTAACTGCTTGGGATTATTTATATAACTGCTGATTATTAGGATAACCCTGCAGGATCGAGTCTAGACTTTTCAATTTTGCTTAATGTAATTTGATATAATTTGAGTTGTATTTAAAGTGACTTGAGTTGGGATGTTTAGATCCAACTTGAATTCCAAAGAGGAGAAGACATCCCTAAAGGGGAGAGTTTTCGTCCATTTGGAAGATCAAGTTTGGATGCTCTTCAAATATCCAAAGAGGAAAGATAACACCCCGTTCAAGGGGGAGTTTCTTTTCATTTGGATATCCAGAACCGACGAATCAAGATGTTCATGAGAAGACGA